TGAGTTAAAATCTATTTCAAATCTTGATAGAGAAAAAATTAAAAATTTGGCAGATATTGTGAGGGCCCACGATGTATTATTACGGAATGCAAACTATGGTAAAAAGGTAAAATATAGTTGATAATGTTCCAATATATGCTATAGATGCTTCACATTTCAAACAAATATATTAAAATATTCATATATTTTGTCAATTATACCCACTAGTAGCATTTCTACCAATAAAGAATATTTTCTTATTTGACAAAATAAAAACATACCTGAGAAGTAGTGTTGTTAAATGGCTTATTTGGTCCGATTTTTAAAGATGGTTAACTCAGCAAAATATTGCTTAGGCCTCGAGATATCGCTAATAGATGTCCAAACCTTTGTACTACCTATGAGCAAAATCTTTAGGCTTACATATTATTTTGAATATATTGAGTTAGCCGTTTTAAAAATCGGCTCAAATCGAGCAACACTACTGAGAATTATATCTCTAAAAATAGATTGAATTGGTTAACTCTTCTTACCCATAGAAAGTTAGTGATACCAAGCACTGATGTAACCGAAGAAGATTTAATTTCACATTAAAAATTTATAATATGCTTCTTAATTATATTTTTCCCATTTTTTAATATACCATATTTTTTTTCATGAATACTTTGAAATTATATATGCATGCAATTATTCTTTAGAATATTTTTGTGCATAATCTGTATTTCCTACATATTAATTTAAATTTATATATCAAATATTAAATGCATAAAAAAATTTTTAAATTTTTAAAAGTTCATCTTTGAGACATTTATTTTATATTGATCAAATACATTTAATATTTTATCATTAATTTATATTTGAATTTGTATTAGAAATAGTCAATATTTTATAGCCGCTAGTCCTAATAAATTTTTGAAACTTAAGATATTCTAAAAAAAATAATTAATTACCCCCCCCCCCCTCCCCTCCCATACAAATTCCTAAGTACCCGATATCAGACCTTTAAATACACTCCATAAACCACTAACAAATATATGGTTTTCAACCATACAAATTAATATTTTCAGTGGGATAAGGACAGGGTTTAATCAATTTATATTGGTTCAATAGAGATTGGCAACGGATCGATTAAAAACTTTATATAGGGCAGGCGTGTGAGTTTAAAAATATTTCTAAAACAATGGGCCTGCGGGCTGGGGAATTTGAAATATTTTTTAGGAGAAATGAAAAGAACGGGCTTATATATCTTAAAAATTTTTTAAATTTTATTACATAATATTGCATATTTTACAAGCTTTAGTAAAAGTATATTAAAATTAAATAAGTAAAGAGTAAAACCAACCAATCAAATAATTTTAAACCATTGGGAGGGTGAACGGGTTAAACAATTTTTTTAGGTTAATATTTTTTAAACAATAGGTAGGCAGAAGGACTTACGGATAGAAAACCCGCTCCCCAACTATTGTAAATTGTTAACCCATCCGCTTATTTTTTTTACCCGCTCATTTATTGAAAATTTTTTTGCCGCCCGCCCATTCAGTAAAAATTTGTTTAACCAGCCCAATCTTTAAAAATTATTTAATTGATAGGTTTGTTCTCTTTATTTATTTGTATTTTTTAATAAATTATGCAAAATTTTTAACAGAGTTGTTAAATATTACTTTTAAAAGTAGCGCGCTACCGCTATTGCTATTTGTCAAAAAAAATAGCACGCTACCGCTATCGTTACCCATCAAAAAAAGTAGCATGCTATTAGCTACTATTTTTTAAAAGTAGCTTTGGCTACTTTTTAGACTACTTTTTATAAAAAAAAATTAGAATAAATTTGTTTTATTTTTATGTAAAAAGACTATAATTTATGTAATAAAAATAACTATTTATGGTAATATACATTTTTTATTTATTATTTGCATTTAAATAATAAAATCATTTCTATAATATCATTCCCAAGTCTAGAGCGACGATCAGAAAGTATAAGTTTCCACCTTACTAAATAATCTCTCAACACTAGTACTTGAGCGTAAGGCAGTATTTAATTTTATATATTTTTGATATAAGTAAAATTATCAAAAATACTCATTTGTATTTTTAGATTTAAAAAACGCATGGGATTTTCTATTATAAATGATGAATTATCAACCAATGACTTGGCTGAACTGTATCAATTATAAAATCGACAATAATTTTATCAGCCAGTTTCTGAGAAATATTGGCATGTGTGCAATATTATTAATCAATTTAGCTTGAAATGAATTGGTCTTTCTGAATGTAGTCTCCCCTATACCAAAATTATTAAGATATTTTTCTATCTCTTTAAAACTGTTGACCAAATTAAAAATACTATTAGAATTTTAAAAAATTACCTTTAGATGTTTTTTGAGGTTATAGCTACTAGATTTATTTGAGGTTATATTTTTTTATAGTTTGAACAAATAAGTTTGTAGCCACTTTTTGTTTTTTATTAATTTGAAAATTTTTTCAAATTTTGGAAATGGAATTTTCTCCAGGGTAGGGGAGACTGGGGTAAAGGTAAACCCCGGGGCTTAAACCATTTAATCTCATTTTAAAATTAAATACACCAGAAGGTTAAAATTTTATCCTAATATAGTTTTTATTAGTTTACATCTATAGACAATTTTGAAATATTTAAAAATTAAAAATTTTATTTAAGAAATAAAATTTTGATGAAATTTTCAAAAGATTTTTACATGACAGAATTTTAATTTTTATTAAAATAAATAAAATTTTATAGCAAAGGTTAAACATTCTTCTATAATTTGGGAAAGTCTTATGAGTATTTATTATATCTAGATATTATTTCAATCATAATTTGTCAATTTAGAGGTAGCGGGGCTTGCTTAACCATAAACGTCAATTATGGCAGTTAATATTGAAAAAAATTTCATAATCTTGAAAAGTTAATTACATGGCTGTCATGATTGGTATTTAAGATTTATGCTAAGAAATCATGATCTCTCCTTAAGATCTTTATATTTTTATGTCCAAAATGTTTATTAAATTAACCAAAATTAAGTTTCAATTTTTATATATAATTAGCTTCAATTTATAATTATTATGATATTTTGAATAATAAAACAATAAGATTATTCTATACGTATCATATTAATAAATATAAATGCATTTTAATTTATTATGGCCTAAAAAAACCAATGGTTTAGGAAGCCCCATAAAGTGATATGCCTCACCCCGCTATTGGGGCTTGTTGGACAAAATTTCCACTTATACAAAAAATAAAATTAAAATAAAATGATTATTTTAAATTTTTTTATAAAGTATAGTTTTAGGTATCTAATCATATATTATTTTCTAATCTAATAAACCAGGAGCTATGGCCAATTTTGTAAAAATCGGTTCGCCTAACCCCGGTCTCCCATACCTTCCATTTCATTAATATCATAATTGTCTGACTCACTTCCATCGATTTGGATATACATTTGCGATGACATTTTAAATAGGTTTATAATAGAAATTGAAGATATAAATTACAAAATGAAAATATAAATTTCAATTTCAAAATTAAATAATATATTAAAAATTATTATTAATTATGATATTATATTTATATTTAAATTTTCATGTTTATAGTTATATTCTTTATATTTTTAAAAAGTTTAGCTACTTTCAAAAAAAAGAGTCGCTCTAAAAAAAATAAATAAGTGGGAAAGAAGTAGCGCGCTATTAGCTATAGCTACCAAAAAAGATGACGAGCTACTTTAACAACTCTGATTTTTAATTTTAATATAAGAGCTCGTTCTAATTCATTTCAAATACACTTATCCGTAGATTGTTTTAAAAGTATTTTTAACCCCCCTGCCCAATGTTCTAAATTTTTATGGGCGATTGTGCCGAAAGGAGGATATCCGCTCTTGCAGGCCTTAGATTAGATCTCCCAACTAAATCAAAGCACGTTTTATAAATGATTCAACATTCTCACAAGATTTACAGCCCCACTTTAATTTAATTTGAGAAACAGAAAATATTTCTATTGGAGGAAAACCTTTCGAACAATCGCTAAATCATAAGAATTGAGATTTTTACATAACTAAATGATATTTTAATGATGTAAAAAAATTTTTTTTTTTAGTTTATTTGGAGTTGGAATATTTTTAAATAAATAAAATTAATTTTTAGGCCTTTGTTAAAATAAAATAGAGGTGATATAATTATAATTAAAATTTGGTTTTCCTTAAAATATCGATCGGAGTATGACACTGAATGCTATCTTGCTTTAAAATATATTTAAAAAAATTTAATAAAAATTATTCAAACAAATCTTATATATATATATTATCTTTTTAAAAAAATTTTAAAGTATGATCTAATCAATTTTGAATAATCAGGTTATATCTAAGCTATTAAAATCCAATTTAAATTAATTTACAAATGTTCCTTTTACGAGCGATTTTATTAAAATATTGAGTTTTTAATATGGTCTTAAAATTAATTTTATAAAAAAATGTATAATATTTTAAAAATTAAATATATAATATTTTTTTAAATATACTTATAGTAGTACTCAATTTATAAAATTAAACGAAATAGGTTATGTAAACATTAATAAATACATATAATATTCATATATTAATGTTTAAAAAAAGGAGATATTAATATTTTTTGCCTCTATATATTATTTAGATGGAAAATTAATTTTTTTTACATGTATACTCAGGAGATAATTAATTAATCTTCACATTTTTTAGCACTCTTTCATCTCTAATAAGTTAATATATATTCATTATTTATTAACATAAAATATTTCAAAAAGTCAATATATGTTAAAATTTTAAAATGAATATTATTTTTTTAAATTTTATATAATATAGGAACTCTCAATTATCAACCATCAGGAATTAATATTAGGATTCCGAAGATTTTAATTGATCAAATGATATCAAAATGAGCCATGTGTATTCTCGTATAAGTTATCTTTTTTTTTAAAAAAAGCTGAAAAATCCCCCTGATGCATTTTTTGATATTATATTCCAAAATTTCACAATATGAATACACTTTTCTTCCTTATTCACCTAATTATTGTCATCAACGTCATACCCTTACATCTAACCCAAGATTCCTTAGCGCATAACTCCAGCAATAAGGAGAGGGATTACATAACGGTATCTACTTACAATGGTAGAATAAGGGGTTATAGGCTCAAACCACACCAATTCGCTATATACCATAAACATGCCAATAACGATCTATCGGCTGTGGACTGCTTCATGGGTATACCTTACGCTAAACCTCCCATTAATGAACTCCGCTTTCAGTCACCACAACCGATTGATCCATTTTTTCAGGACTCGATATATAATGCCACTTCATTGCCTAATTCCTGCCCTCAACCGATAGACAATTTTTTTGGGGCCAATTTTAAGGGCACGCAACAGTGGAATGCCAATACCGATATAAGCGAAGACTGCTTATACCTTAACATTTGGAGCCCATTCCCGAGAAACGAAAACGAAAAATTACCCGTGATGATTTGGATTTACGGGGGAAGTTATACCAGCGGGAGTGCTACATTAAAATTGTATGATGGAAAAATATTAGCCTCCCGTTTCCATATATTAGTTGCCTCCATGAATTACAGAATGGGCTCATTGGGATTTCTTTTCACTAACGATCCGATACAAAATCCAGGTAACGCGGGTCTATTAGATCAGCTGTTAGCAATCAAATGGCTCAAAAGAAATATAGAACATTTTGGTGGAGATCCTGAGCGTATAACATTAGTGGGGGAAAGCGCAGGAGCTTCTAGTATCGTTTATCATTTATTATCGCCTTCTAGTGCTCCTTATTTTAACAGGGTTATATTGCAAAGCGGAGCCGCCGGGAATCCATGGGGACTCATCGAAAGATCCGAAGCTATTCAGAGAGCTTTCAGACTAGGTCAAGCTTTGGGCTGTGATCACGATACCTACTATCTCAACGAAACGAAGACTCCTCTAAAGTCTTTTGAAGAAAATGAGTTCTTGTACCGAATTGATGGTCCAATCAAATACGAGTCTATGCAGCTAGACGCATCTAGAAAGTTGCTAAAATGTCTACAGTCACATAATTTTGAGAATATATTGAATAAAGAACCAGCCGTTACTAGCAATGCCATGGATTTTCCCTTCGCCCCCGTCATAGATGGTGATTTCGTAAAAGCCCACCCACAGTATCTTCTAAACATGGGATTATTTAAAAAAGCAAGCGTACTTCTTGGATCTAACTTACATGAAGGTACAGCCTTCTTGGTATACTATTTGGATAAAATATTTACTCCACTCCGAGAAAACGTGACGGTTTCAAACGAGGAACTGATCTGGGCCATCAATCGCATTTATTATAAATTCAATCATATAGCTCGAAACTCGGTAGCGCAACATTACAAAGATTGGGACCGGCCAGAAAGTTTGTTTGAAAATGAGGGAAGTGATCACAATATTAACAAAATTGATGATATGGCTGGAGATTATTGGTTCACCTGCCATGTTAATGAACTAGCCGATCAATATTCGAAGGGTGGGCAAAGCGTTTACATGTATCAATTTAGTCATAGATCTTCTCTAAATCCTTGGCCAAAGTGGATGGGAGTAATGCACGGAGACGAAATAGCATATATGCTAGGGGAACCCTTGAAAATCGGCTCTAGATATACTGACCACGAAAAGGATCTCAGTTTAAATATGATGCGATTTTGGACAAACTTCATTAAACATGGGTAACAACAAATAATATAATTTTCTATCTTTTATTTTTCAAGTTGTTAAGTCTAATTATAAGAAAAATAAAGTAATTAAAACTGTTTAGGACTTATAAATCCTGATATAATATAACTATTGAAAATCAGATTCAATATTCTAAAAAATATATAGGGACCCAAATAAAAATGGGGAATATGATTGGACAGGAATCCGTTGGCCTGAATATTCTTATAAGAGCAAAGATTGTCTAGATTTAAATATTAAAATGAATCGATATGATTTCAATATAACTAAAGCTCCAAGACTTAAACATTGCGCTTTTCAAACTTTCTTATCAAAATTACAAAAAGATACAGGTAATATATTATAACTGATTATTATAATAAACATTTAAATTAATTAAATAATTATAGAGCTACTAAAATTAGAATCGTCTTGTCCAGTTTCACCGATTCCAAAAAAATCTTATGCCATTCGTCTTAACGACCCCACAAATACTAATATAAATACTTTTAATTTAATAACAGTAATTTATATAGTCTTAAACCACATATTTGTACATCATATATAAAAGTTATAATTGTAATATGATATTGAATCTACGTAAAAGTTTAAATATAATAGTTTTTATGGAAATATTTTATGCGACCAATGGATATCTTTGTTATAAATATTAGTTCATAACTAGAGCGAAACCTTACTTGTATTTTGGAACATGAGGATAATTGATATTCTACGATTATAAATTATTATTTAACTATTAAAAATGGTAATATGAAATATTTATTTAATGCAATATAATATCGAAATAAATAAATTGTTTATAAATTTATATGTAATATAATATATATAATATAATATATATAATATATAAATAAATGGCATTCATGAACCCGCCAAATAACTTTAATTTGATTTATAACTTAGAGTAAACTTATGCCTAGGTGATTGATTAGGAGGGATCCTATTTTATATCAAACTTAACATCCAGTTTGGTAAATTTCCTTCGTTATCTTAAAATTTTGGCAAAGGTTACCCTTCATAAATTTTATTGAATCTAATTTCCCCATTAATAATTAAGCTTATATTAAATTTTTGTGTCCAAATAATTATTACTATTTCATTCTTTAAAAATATTTATTCCATTTCTCAATTGTTAATTTATTAATTAAATTAATTACAAATAATTTAAGTGTTATTCAGACTTCTACAAATCCCTAAGCAAATGACAATATTGCCACCCCTCTAATAATTTGCCCATTATTTTACCCCTCTCTGGGTAGAAATCCTTGGTATTGGTTTTAATCCTTTTATCTATAAATAGTTCGCTGGTAAGATATGAACAAATAGACCTTTAAATTTTTTTGGATTTGCAACGTGTTAAATTAAAATATATAATGGAGAGTATACCTAAAACGAATTATTTGTTATTCGATTCGATTCGTATTTTACGTATACGAATATGAAAGAAACATTTTATTTCTAAATGTTGTTAACGGTTGTTTTTATTCGAATAATGCATAATACAAAATTAACTTCCGAAAATTGTTTTATGATGGACGAAGAAAGTATTTATTTATATGTAATTTATAACACATATACAATTATAAACGACTAGTAGCTATCCCGTTAAGAATGACGGGCGAACCAGATATTTCTCCTTTATTTGATGATGGAGGGATCATAAATTTGACTTTTTGCAAAAACTTTGTGTTTAAAAAATTTGTTGTTGGTATATTTGTCTTCTACATGATATGAATATTATATTGATTTTTCTACATTATATATAAATATACTATATATGTATGCTTCTATATTATTTTACTAATAAAATTTGTTTGTCTTTTATCCATAATTAAATTTTACAAAATAAATTTAATTTGCTATCTTATACAATTATTCGATTCGATTCGTATTTTTGTAGGTCTAATGGAGAGTGAGAAAAAACAAGAACATTTGAGACAAAATAATCAAATAGATCAAATAGATGAGACAAAATAATCAAATAGATAAAAATTTAAGAAGGTGGCCAGTAAACCTATATGATCAATTATCCCCGGTCTTCTTCTTTCTGTAATTTATCTCAAGGAACTGAAAAAAGTGGATCGTTTTTTATGATATTCTTTTAAAATTCATATTTATTATCTTTTAAGATAGTAAAATAAAACTTTTCAAAACTATATGAAAGTAAACTTTTGAGGTTTTACTATTGTTGCATAATATATTATTTAATTTAATCGATATTACTTTTTACACTTACAAAAACATTCACTAAATAATATATTATTGTATTTTTATATACGAAGCCTTTAGCCACAATTGATTGACCATAAATTGATTTACGATAGATATATTTATCCAGATTTTGTGTAAAAACATATAATCGAGAAAACGAATTCAATTGTATTTTAAAAATAACATATAATTTTTACGTTAATAAAAATAAACGATTTTCTTTATATGAATTTTGTTCATTATGTTTTAAAATAAAGAAACCAGACTTTCAGATTCTTATTCTACTACTTATTCTTTTTAGCGCATTACATTGAAATAAAAAGTGAAAGAACTTACAATTGATAGGGAATAAAAGCTCGCTTGGCATGCGAGAGGTAAGGGGATCGATGCCCCTATCCTCCACCATGACGCAAATAAAGAATATATTGCGCTAAAAAGAATAAGTAGTAGAATAAGAATCTGAAAGTCTGGTTTCTTTATTTATTAATAAAACATAATGAACAAAATTATTTATCATATAAAGAAAATCGTTTATTTTTATTAACGTAAAAATTATATGTTCTTTTTAAAATACAATTGAATTCGTTTTCTCGATTATATGTTTTTACACAAAATCTGGATAAATATATCTATCGTAAATCAATTTATGGTCAATCAATTGTGGCTAAAGGCTTCGTATATAAAAATACAATAATATATTATTTAGTGAATGTTTTCGTAAGTGTAAAAAGTAATATCGATTAAATTAAATAATATATTATGCAACATGCACCACCTCCAAAAAAAAATATATAAAAAAAAACATTGAAATAAAAAGTGAAAGAACTTACAATTTATAGGGAATAAAAGCTCGCTTGGCATGCGGGAGGTAATTTAGATTTACTTTAAAGAAGAAAATAATAACAATAATGCAAAAAGAACTATAACAAACTTTGACCTTAACCAAAAAAAAACAAATTGGTTAGTCAAGTGGGAAAACATAGGGTAATAATGAGGGGACGGATTATGTATTATTTTGATTTGAAAATATATGGATGACAATTTAGGCTGATTTCTATGTTTATAAGCAAATTTAATATTATCAAGGTGCAATTGTGTGCCCCAAACCCAATTTTTTTGTTATTGATAACTTAGTAGCATCTGTTATTCATTAAATTTTAGGAAGACAGAGTTTAGATTAGGACCGAAGATAAAAAATATAAATGCATGCCTTGAGTTCTCCAAGATAAGGTTCTTATCTTAGAACAATAAAGGTGGTCAAAGAAAAATTTGAAAATTAGAATGTTATTAAGGCGAATGTAATATAACATAATTTTATTACAATTTTAAATTATTTATATGTCTATTTTTAATTAATTGCTGTCTATTTGTTCGAATATTAATAAACCTATCTACAAGGTGATATTTCAACAGCATTATTAGATGTTAAAGCTATAATTTTATCACTATAGTAAATATTTTTGTATTCTATATAAATAATATAACCTCTACTCAGTCTAGGAAAAGAAAATGATCCATGGTTTTTCCTCTTTCTCTTCATATGAACATACCAGGTCATTCAGCGAAACCTTTATCGCGAATGTCGTCTATCGCGAAGTAATTATATAGCGAAGGTAATATTGTGAAACCAATTCCGCAAATTTTTCCGCGAAACATTTATAGCGAAGACAATATCGCGAATTTTTTTCCTCGCAATCTTAACCGCGAATACTTTAGAGCCAATACACTTAAGAGAAACTTTGATCGCTAACCCATTATAGCGAACTTTTCCTTTATAACAAATTTTCTACCTCGAATGTATTTGCTCAAAGTCATTATCGCGAGCGTATTACCGCGAAACAATAAATATTTTGCGAATGCATTTATTTAAAGGAAAACAACATATTATATAATTTACGTATAAAAGTTTCTTAATTCATAAAAGCTTGTCATAACACCTTCTCCCCCATTCATATTAAGATATATGTTTTAAAATAGCTTTTAAAAATTTGACCTTCCTTATGATTTGTAGTCATGAAGATGATTAACAAAACAGTTGAAATTTTTTTTTTATTTGAGATTTATGTCAATATTATGTTATAATTTTTATCCTACCCTTCCCCCAGATTTGCCCTTAGAGATTAGTATAAAATGTAAACACACCCTTTTATTAGCTTTCATTTGATACACATGTGGCAATATACGTTATAAATATTTTTCCATTCCTGTCCTCCCAGGTTCAGACTTGAAACAAAGTGACTGTAACTATTAATAATTAGCTCTCATTTAATACTCTTATGGAGATTTATTTTAAAGTAGGCTTTTACTCCGCCCCCCTCCCCACATCTCTATCAATGAGCTCGTTCAAAGAACCTAGAGGGATAATAGCATTCAAAAAATATTTTTATTCCCTTTCATTTGGTGTCCTTGTCAGATTTTTCTTGTAAAAGAAATTTAAGTCTCTCCAAAACTTGATACGAGGGTCTAGATAATGATGGATAATTTTAAAAGTACTCCGAATTATTTTATTGGTTTCCATTTGATACCCTTGTCTAGAATGCTTATGCACTTAAAAATAAAAAAATAAAATATTTCGGAGCGATATATTATATTTTCTAAGAAAGTCAATTCTGAAATAATTAAAATTTTTACTTAACAAAATCATCTTTTGGGAATAAGTGAAAATCACTTTATTAATTCTGAGTAATTAAGGAAAAAAATATATATACTTTGAAGATGTATTATAATTAGTGTTGTTAAAATTTACTTTTGAAACATAACTAGTTACAGTTATATTTCAAAAGTAACTAGTTATATTATAAGTTACTTTACTTACACATCATTCATATAACGCATTTTTATTTACTGAACGCATTTATTTAATATAAAAAATTAGGATATAAAAATTATAATAAATTATTTAAAAAAATAAAAAATAATTAAATCGGAAAAAAATAACAGAAATAGAATATATTTATATCGAAATAAATATATCTCTAAGTGAAGCGCTCGTTTCTCTCCAAAAATGCCTAAACTGAATAAACGCTCTACGGAAGCACTTGTTGTAAGGAATATTTAATAAAAAGTAATTTTAAATTTGGGAAATCATCATATAAAGATAATGTGGTATTATTGGATTTTATAAAATTTTCTATAAGTTCATTATCAACAATATTTTATTGCTTTAGGTCAAAAAATCCAATTACATCAAAGGATGTTGGTTTGGAACATGATTCATTTGTCTGAGGGGTATTTGATTAATCTCTTGTTGAAGGAAATGATATTTGATATCTGCATTATAATATTTTGTTTTTATTTTTATAGTCTTTGTCTTTCCTTGTTAGTAAGTAATAGTATTTTATATAAAAATTATTTAATTCTAAA